TTTCGATTTCTTTGTTTTCTGCATCTTTTTCAATCACATTTTCAGCTTCCTCTTGATCGTCTTGTGCAGTTGTAATTGGGCTGTCATTTAAAGGGCGTGCGATTGTTACAGCATTGTTGGATCCTGCAGAAGTCGACGACGAAGAAGATGACGTGTCTGACGAAGATCCAGAACTTGAAGAGGATGATGAACTTGAGTCGTGATCAGGATCTTTGACACTATCATCATCGTTTTCGCTATAATCAATTTTATTATCAAAAACCTCATTTTCCTTTGTTTGATCTGGATAATTGCTATTTCCAGCTTTACTGCTATTTCCAGCTTCAATTCCTGAAGGTTGAGGAAGCTCGCTTATTTTGGGATGATTCTCGACTGGTTTATTCTCCTTGTTAGTTAATGTACTATTACAAACATTCCCAGTACCCTCGAAAAGGTATTTATTTGGTTCAAGGGTACTAACATTTCTGTCAACCTCTTTCCTCGCCTCTTCCTTCCTATTTTCAGATTCAAGAACCGCAAGTACCATTCGTTTACCCCTTGACATCATTATCTGTAACAAAAGCATGCACTGATTTAAAGGACATACGTCATAATAGATTTAGATAGGTAGGTAATTAAAAAAATTATAAAAATTATGGTGGCTTTCTAGCGAATAGCCATGCAAGAAATAGATATCGAAAATTTCAAACTAAACAAAAAGTAAAATCTGCAGAAGCTACTGGAATTTGTATGTTAACAGAACTTTGGCTACTTGCAAATTTATATTTTTAATTGGTAGGTATCTTTTACGAAACATTTGATACTTACCTCTATATATCCTGCATATTAATTAAATAAGTAAATAAATAAAAAACTCACCTCCTTTAATAAAATATTCAAATTGGAATATTGGCGTAATACGTCCAAATATTATCCTTAACTTGATGCAATAATAATTGGTTTATGCTTGCAATGTCCGAAGAAAACCGTATCAACACCGAATGATGCAAAGTTCAACCGACACAAATCGCGAGTGGTACACTAGATTTCTGAAGAAAACTGTTTCAACTACAAATAGTACAATAACACTTGAATCATTTATTATATTATCTAAAATGTTCCTTGGAAAACCGTAATAACACAAAATAGTACACTTTTTCTCGGAAATAGTTGCAAAAATAAATTTGTATTTTCGAAGAAGTGAGATCTAACTACAAATGTTGCACTGTTCCAGGGAGAAATTGAACATTATTTCAAACAATATCGTAATAACTACAGATGTTACACTGTTCCGGGGAAAAAGTAAACTTATATTTATTAGTCTTTCAAACGAAATTGTAATAACTACAAATGTTACACTTTTCTGCGAGAGCGACACGAATTAACCTGTTACAATCCACAATAGCACTGTTTTCTGGGGAAATCAATGCCAAACGCGTTCCGAGGAAAATACAGTGACTCTATTACCCACAGTGGCGACAATTGCTGTCTCATTTTTGATTGGTTCAAAAATCCCATATATTTATATTGAAAACGCCGCCATCTTGTTCCCAACCTCTTGTTATTTTTAAATATGAATATATGGGATGTAGGTGAACATCCATCATAAATCATGGAAAACACGTATTTGATGGACCTAATAATGGTCATCAAGTACGTACAATTTCAATTTTCTATGATAGATGTTCATTTAAATCCTATATATTAATATTTAAAGGTAACAAGAGGCTGGGAACAAGATGGCGGCGGGACCTCTATTGTCGCCACTGTATGTAAAGGTTTATTTAGCCACTGTAGAGGAAAAGAGATCTCCGCGCCATCTATCCAAAACAATTGGGATTATCTTTGTTACAGTTTTCCTGGGAGATGAATTATTGTTTTTACTAGTTATTCATAAAATAAACTGATTTTTAGAATTTTTTGTGTTATTACACTTTTCTTCGGGATGTGCGATATGTATAATAGACAATGATAAGACATAATATATGAAAAAAGCTTAAGTCATTAAAAAAATCACAGAGAAGTGTGTAAAATCTTATAAAACTATCATTAAATAAAACCAACAAAAGTAAAATCAGAGAACACAAAAAACAAACAAAGGTCAATAGAAAGAATCAAAATGGTAAAACAGACACTCACAGATACACAAGAAAAAACCCAAACATAGCCCAGGTCAGTCAAATCTCTCACTGAAGAACTCATTAACAGAGTTGCCTTTGTTGCCAAAAGGGTTTTAACTTTTTTTCTAAATATCACGAAGTTCTGGATCCCTCTAATATGCAATGGAAGATGATTGAAAATTTTCTTGCTTGTACTGTAAAAAATTGAGCCTTTTGTCTGGCTTGAAGATGGAATAGGTAACCTAATGTAGAATATTTGACGAGTGTTGAAGACTGAAGATGAGTTTATACTATTCCTGTGTTTCCTATACATTAAGCAGCATGTTTCCAACAAGAATATACTTGGCAATGTTAAAATCTTATTGGAAATGAACAGTGGCCTACAGGAGTCTCTATAGACTCTATATTTAGCCTTGCATAAATATTTCACAGCTCTCTTTTGCAAAACAAATAAAGCATTCAACAAATACTGAGAGCAATTTCCCCAAAAACATATACCATATCTTAAATGGGATTCAATCAGCGAGAAATAAGCGCTCCTCGCAATAGGGAACTTGCAAGTGAAGTAAAATTTTCCAAATTTGTTTTAAATCGATAGTTTATGCTGCACAATATTTATATGACCAGTTTTTATTTAACTGATACCGCCCTTGTTACACAAAAAATAATAATAAATTTTGAAATAAAAACTTTCCCGCCAAAACAATGCTCCATGATGAATACCTGTTTTGACGTCACGATTCTGTAAACAAACCCGTCAATAGGGAAATCTGTGATAGGGAACTTGCACGTAAAAAAATACAAAAGCAGTCCTTCACAATATTCTTCATCCATTGCGACAATTTTCATAAAAAGCAAACTTTAACACACTTGAATAACACAAAAATAGCACTGCGTCAGCAGGAGTTCGTTTGCTGCGTATTTGATGTTTACAAAATCTCAACGTCACAAGCGCTGTCAAATTGAGATTTCGTGTTTTCGCGCCAAAGTGTTTCATTTGAATTTCAATATTTTTTTTTTCGTACAACGTATAAATTAAAATGGAAAAAAAGAAAATTATGTAATAACTGATGACTAGAAGTATCTAAAAAAAAATAATTTGAGAAATATGAAAATTCCCTATTCCAAATTCCAAGTTATCAGAAATAACTCTAATCGCATAACAATTTGAAGCCAGTTTATTGCTTAAATAAATCAAATGGGACTCAAATTTAAGTCTGTCGTCGATAAATACTCCCAGAAACTTATTAGCGTTGAGATTATTGATTAGTTGGTCTCCAACAGTAACATTCCAAAGTATGGTTGAATCATCAGCAAACAATGTGAAAATTCCCCTTATATTAATTTTAGTTATATCATTAATGTAAATCAAAAACAATAAAGGCCCGAAGACAGAGCCCTGAGGCACCCCGGATCTAACTTGTAGCTGTCCCGAAGATTTGTTCTTGAACTGAACCTTCTGGACTCGATGGGATAAATATGACCTGAACCAATCCAATGCCACTCCCCTTATGCCATACTTTTCCAGTTTCCACAGCAGTATTTCGTGACTGACACAATCAAATGCCTTGGATAAGTCACAAAACACTGCTGCAGCCACGTCACCGTCATTGATACCCAAGTACAACCTTTCCAAAAACTCAAAAATGGCGTCGTTAGTGCTTTTTGATTCCTGGAAGCCAAATTGTTCAGCACGGAGCAGGTTATGTTTCTTTAAAAATGATAGTAATATTTTTTTCACCAATTTTTCAATTATTTTTGAGAGCGTAGGTAATAGGGATATTAGTCTAAAATTTGCAGGAGTGTCGGAGCTACCCCCTTTGTATACTGGCACAACAGTTGCCCTGTTGTGATAACTTTAGAATTTATACTTATGTTCGAATTATAGTAATTATACCCATTTATTCTATGTAGGTAGGTACATACATATTATAATAAAAAGTCATAATTTTATTTCCCATAAATAAAAGCTTATCGCGCCCGACTTTGTTTACTATTTTTACTCTACATAATAATTCTGCTCCAATACCAATGAAAATAATAATTATTACCATCTTGTATAGCAATAGCCGGTATCTACGATAAATCCCGGCGGTCCTTGATGGCACCAGCCGCCATTGAAAACACGTCACAACCGGGATTCATATGAATACCGGTGCCGGGAGACTAGACACAGCCTTACAAATAACTATTGGGTAAGGGCAAAGTTTGTAAGGGCATGTGAGGAATAGGAATATGGAGACGCCGTTTTTCTCACAAAAGATTTGTATTATATCAATATGTTGATTCAAATTTTTGGTTTATAAAAAATAGAATATTATTGTTATGTTGTTGAATATCACCTTTACTTTAAAGTTTAAATTGCTAAAGAAAGTACCTACCTTCCTATATATTGCTACTATATTGACGTTACTTCAAGAAAATGATTAGAGTAACACTTCTGTTACTATAACCCCTATTAAAAGTAACATCAGTGACATCATTGAACTGATGTTACCTCGGATGTTACTTTAAAAAAATAATTATGGTAACACCTCTGTTACTTTAGCCACGGCCTATTGTATAAAGAGCGCAATGATCATTTGCAAAGCTGCAAAACACATAACACAAGTTTAGTCTAAACATGTTTTTAAAAGCTAGTGTATGTAGTAGCGTTTTATAAACATGAGTTAAATGTTTTCCGATTCAGTTTCCTCGTCAGTTTCATATCAGACTACTTGAATTAAAACAATTAAGGCGAGTTTAAATAAACAAAGAGAAAGAAAACAATCTGGGCTCTGGATATCTGATTAAACCGATTTGAAACAAAAAAGTACAAAGTACAAAAAAATCCTGAGAAACATAATATACATAATGATATCGGTACAACAAAGTAAATTATTAAAATTAAACTGTACTTACTTTGTAACCATCCTGTGCTAAACTAAACAAACTTCCCAACCAAGTGTATTTGGTTAAATTGGTCAATGAACAAATATTGCCACCAAGATTTTTGACTAAATTAAACAAATCCATTTTCACAGCAACACATTGCCAGTCGTATTACCTCTCAAGAATATTTCAAATATTAATAATCTTTTATGGTTTTTGTTTATCAGATAATTTAAATTTCTAGCTTTTAAATCAATAGTTTAAGTTAAAATTCACTTTGAAAATCATTGATATTGTTTGTTGCGCAACTTGTACTCGAACGCACGAAACTACGCCAACAAATTACAATTTAGAACAGATTGTGAATGCTGTTAATAGAAAAGTATTTTGTTATGTTTATATTCTTGTTAAAAAAAAGTTTTGAAAGGAAAAAATATGGAGGTAGGGTGGGTGGAATATTTTGTCTATTTGACATTTTTCAGATGAAAATAAATGTAGACGTTCATTGTGTAGATTATATCCCTTCTGCTCTTTCACAATGAAACGTATATCTCTTATCTTTTTTCAACTACTTCAATACAAAAACAAAACTCAGCTGACGTGATGACGTCAACATCAGACCCAAAGAGCAAATAACAATAATAATACTAAATTATATTCTTCATTTATTTATGAAAGTAAACATTTATGTTATTAGAGAGTATCAAATACAATTCATCAAAAAACTAATTAAATAAAAATGTATTCCTTTCCAAACAACTTTTAAAATAAAACCAGCAAAACAAATACAGCATAAACTAAAGCTGATGGATACATAATCAGAGGCTGTTGTTGTTTATCTCCCGATACAGCCACAAACAGCCTCGAAGCAGAAAAACTAGCCCAAAATACAGCCAAACCAGCTAACACTATACCCGCGGGTCCACTAAGTCTAAAGAAAACTCCTAAAAATGATAGTGCCACTATGGGAATTAAACAATAACCCAAAATTGAAGCGACAGTGCTTAGAGTAAACGCTTTATCTGCAGTGGTCATCAACGATAATAAAAAATAAGTAAGTATGCACGAAATCATTGAAAATCCATAAATATAGCCGAAAGATTGAGATTTTCCTGCCAAGAGCAACAGCATAGCTAAAGCCAAGCAAAAGAATATTGGTCCAGCTAAATCAGGGTCTTTTGTAAGGTATTCAGAATCGTCAGCCAAACTGTGTCCCCTCAAAGGGTTTAGGACAGCTAAAACTTTTTCCAAAATCCGATCAGGATAAATTTCCAGCTCTTCCAATAGAGGAGGTTCTTCTAAATCTTCTTCGGCTTCCTTGGTTGAGAACTCATAGTCGTTGGGGTTGTAGAAACTTGCTGGATATTGTGACTGTGCATATGTTTGATTGGCATATTCCTCTTGGGATTTAAATTCTACAAATAATTGTCAATTACGTTTCGTGTGTAATTCAATACAAATTAAAACTTACCTAATTGCTGCTCTGAAAACTGTTGGTAATCTTGTTGATAAAATCCTTGTTGTTGAAGGGGCACTTCTGCCTGGTTATTCCAGTAAAATTCTTGGTTGTTGGTGAAGTCGCCCATCGTTTAGAATATGGTGTCAAGTAATGAAAAGACAATTATTATTGCAACGGTTCTCTGCTATATCCTTGTTCAAAAAAATACATAATACATTATAAAAATGATTATTATGATGTGGAATTTTAAGTATACTTCTTATTTTCGTATTATAACCTAACTTTTTTGACGTATGTCGTAGGGTTTGTTACTCATCCACCAAGGATATTACACACCAAGGAGAATACACACTCAGAGTGCTTATCGGCCTCGTTTTTGGTAATCGCCACCATATTGTACAGTGGCTAAATAAACCTTTACATACAGTGGCGACAATAGAGGTTTCGCCGCCATCTTGTTCCCAACCTCTTGTTACTTTTAAATATTAATATATAGGATTTAAATGGACATCTATCATAAAAAATTGAAATCGACGTATTTGATGACCATTATTAGGTCCATCAAATACGTTGTTTTCCATGATTTATGATGAATGTTCAATGTTCACCTAAATCCCATATATTCATATTTAAAAGTAATAAGGGGTTGGGAACAAGATGGCGATGTTTTCAATATAAATATATGGGATTTTAGAACCAATCAAAAATGAGACAGCAATTGTCGCCACTGTGGGTTATAGAGTCACTGTACCATATTGGTATCATACCATTTCCGACGTCATCACTAAGTCGTCAACTGATTAAACAGCCTACTTCGAGGCGAGAAATAACATGCTGCCAACGTCACAACTGGTAATTTAGCGGGGCGGAAGGGGGGGATTTGTTAGTCATTAGGCGTATAAGGCTACCATATTATTCTGATAAAAAAACGGGACATTTTTATGAAGCAAATGTTTCATGTATTTATAGAAAAAATAGCGCCGCAGACAATTTTTTTTTTCGGAACCACACCTGTAGGACCGAGCGTAGGACGAACCCACGAATAATACATACTACTACTACAGGATAGCCTATCCTCATAAGGCCTGTGTACAACAAATCCGAAGCCCCCCTACCCCACTAAATCACCATTTGTGACGTAGGTAGCATGTCGTTTCTCACCTTGACGTAGGCTGTTTGCACCACAGGTTATGATTTCATCTTTCTATTTGCCTATTATGCTAAAATAAAATAACATTTTTCATCATAAATTTAAATTCTAAACTACGACTGCTGGCGCAAACAGCTGACGTCGCTGACGACTTAGTTGATGACGTCGCCAATGGTGATACACCAATATGGTGGGGACAGGTGGGGATCAGAGCTGGGCAAAGCCCTCAGTGAAAGGGCTTGAAGCACTAAGCCCTAAGCCTCAAAGTGCTTTCAATTTCAAGCACAAATTCCTTTTTATTTTCAAAAGTGCTTCACAAGCACAAAGCCCTCAAAGTGCTTTGTGCTTGGCAAGCCCTCAAAGTGCTTGGGGGGCCTCAAAAAGGGCTTTGAAGTTCTTTAAATGTGCTTGAAGCTCTTTAAATGTGCTTGGAGCTCTTTAAATTTGCTTAAAGCTCTTTAAATTTGCATGCAGCTTTTTAAATGTGCTTGAAGCCCTTTGAATATGCCCTGAAATCTTAGTACTTCTAACGACGCTAGTGAGCAATAAAAATACAAAAGCTTACTTTCAATATTCTCAGTTAATTTAACTAGAGAATCTTTATATTTTATTTTTTTGCAAATTACAATTGCAATAATTGTGAATGGTATTGGTAACCAAAATAATTGTAAGTGTGGGTAATTTTTTTTTTTACATGGTATCCTATACTTACACATCACAACAACTCAGAATAATTTCATGAAATTACTAAAATTGTATTTGTCATTTTCTTTGATGTTATAGATGGCGTCAAAAAAAAATAGCATATCGATACTGGTATCGAATATGGATTTAAAATATCGATGCCATTTGAAGAGTATCGATATTTTTAAAATATCGTACCTATTGAGAATAGAAATATCGATAAGCCAAAATCTAGATTCTAGATAAATATCAATCAAAAAATTTGGTGGTATGCGGTAAGCATTCCGATACAGAATAGATAACAGAATTAAGCAACAAAACACATCGATTTAAAATTTTTAGGTAGGGGATAGGTAAAATGATGGTTAATTCAAAGTTCTTTTAGAGTGCTTCAAGCCCTTTTAAAGTGCTTCAAGCTCTTTCAAAGTGCTTCAAGCCCTTTCAAAGTGCTTCAAGCTCTTTTAGAGTGCTTTAAGCCCTTTGGAAGTGCTTTAAGCTCCCAAAAGTGCTTCAAGCCCTCTAAAAGTAATTGAAGCTCATTGAAAGGGCTTGAATTACTTTTTTCAATTACAAATTACCAAGCACTTTTCTAAAGTAATTGACTTTGCAAGCCCCAATTACAAATATGTAAAAGGGCTTGAGCACAGGGCTTTCCAGCCCTCGAAGTGCTTCAAGCACTTTTACAAGCACAAAGCACTCAAGCCCTGCCCAGCTCTGGTGGGGATTACCAAAAACGAGGCCGATAAGCAATCCTTATGCCCGTATGCACCATTGCACAAATTCTCTGATTAAGACTTTAGCCGTGATCACAAAATATTTTTCATATGCACCAAGCGTTTTTTTCGCCTATTGGCAATTAACTTTAAATTGCTCGATGGCCTGGAATTTAGAACAAGATAACCGCGGCTAGTTAATGAAATGAGGTTAGATGTTTTGTTTGTTTTGGTTCCGTAAATATGAAATTTGAAATTTTCATATTTACATTTTACAAACATTTTTGTAAAAAAAAAACTGGAACGGAACAAATTTGTGTGAAGTGAGCCAGGAAAAAAAAGAACTGAAATCAGGAATATGGAGGTGGAGAGACATTATTTGACAATGATTAATTTGGATAATGAAATTGTGTTAGATGGGTTTCCGTTTCCAAGGCGTTGGAATGAGAGGGAAAATTATTTTGAAGCCTTGGATGATCTGGGGTGCGATTTTCGAAACCATTCGAGTACATTTCGTACACGAAATTTGACTGACAGCAATGTAAATTAAATGGGGAGCAGTCAAATTTCGTGTACGAAATGTACTCGACTGGTTTCGAAAATCGCACCCCTGATCTATAAGCCAATGTCGTAGATCATAGATCTTCTTGAAGAGGTAGAAGATGCCCTATCATTATTATAGGGTGTTGTACCTACATTCTATATTCTATGCAAATTTATGACTTGATTCTTGATTCCAATAACTAGGTAATGACTATTTAATTACTGTTTATTTCAAATAAAATGCCCTACATGCCCTGGATGTTTTGTTTGTTTGTTTATAAAATTAAAATTCATCGACAAAAACGCAGAATGGGTCTCGCCAACCCCACATACCGCCAACCCAAAATGGGCTTTTATTGCCTTTTATTAAAATCTATAGGAAATTTGCGACGTTATCGGTGAGTTCCTTTCAGGTGGCCCTCATTTCAAAATCACAATTAACTAATTTGAGTGCAAAATCCTTTGGTGCATCGAACCGACATTTTTACCGTGATTACATAATTATCCGTGATTAGCTAATAACGAAAATACGTGAAAATGGTGAATAGTATGAGGAGCTCCGGAACAGCTCCGGGCATAGAGGCTCCGGGGCGTTACGCGCTTATTCCTTCCGAATAGTGTTTGTTGCACCTGAGTACTCAAGCCCAAAGTAAACCATAAATGCACGAAAGTCGGCGAATCTGTTCCTTTCAAATCGGGTTGACACACCGGAGCGAGTAGCTCTAGTGTTTCAAACTCTTGAAAGGAATACAGCTACATACTGGAAAGCAGCTTTATATCCTATCGGCGGTTCACTCTCGTACTCAATCCGTTCCAGCGGCCGCACCGGTGCGGCGTGATCCCGACAATCCGGAGCCGTTGATCGAAACGAGTCTGTCGGTGTAATGTACTCCGTCTCTGAATCTGTGTCCCTACTCCGAGTCCACACTTTTTCCTGTTCCACTGGCCGGCGCGGCGTGATCCGGTTAGTTCGAGTTTGAGGCCGAGTCCGTACAACGTAGACAACGCAAAAGTGGTCCGGACTTGAACTCGAACTTGGACCGGACCTGTTTATTTTGCAGTGGATCAGTTCCCACTGTGAAGATCAGTTCCAGTATTTGGCCCTGATAATAGCCAATTTTGGGTCGGCGAGACCCCATATCTGCGTTTTTTTCGATGAATAAATTTTAGGTATACAGTATACACAAACAAACAAAGCATCCTGGGCATTTTATTTGAAATAAACAGTAATTACCGTAATTACATAGTCATTAGTTACTGGAATCAAGCCATAAAATTGCATATATACTACCACCCTATCATAAGTTAAGTTAGGGCATCTTCCACCTCTTCAGGAAGATCTACGACTATTGGTTTATAAGATCATCCATCCAAGGCTTCAAAATAATTTTCCGTCTCATTCCAACGCGTTGGAAGCCCATCTAACACAATCATTATTTATCAGTATCCAAATCCTCGTCAAATAATAGGTGGTCCATCTCCATATTCCTTATTTGATTTCTCCCTGCTCACCCTCGCCACACACTATTTTTCCAGTAATTTTTTGGGGACAAAAATGTTTTTAAAATGTAAAAACAAAACAAAACAATCTAACCTCATTTCATTATAGCCGCGGTTATCCTAAATTCCAGGCCATCGAGCGATTTAAGTTAATTGCCGATTAGGCGAAAAAAACGCTTGGTGCATACGAAAAATATTATGTGATCACGGCTAAAGTTTAATCAGAGAATTTGTGTAATGGTGCATACCAGGCAAATGCAAAATCCTCTGGTACATCGAATCGACTTTTTTAACCGTGATTACATAATTAGCCCTGATTAGCTAATTACGAAAATACCTGAAAATGGTGCATACAGGCATTAGTGGTGTGTATGGTCCTTGGGCCAAACTCGCCAAATTCTAAACTGTCAAATGTCAAATGTCAAATGCAAATGCTGACGAATAACCACCACGTTGCGATTTGCTAAGACTAGAAATGAGGCGCAAAAATCGATTTATTTATGCCACCGCAAAGACTGGTAATGAAACGGACGAATT